AATCCACAGCCGGCAATAACCTACTGTTCCTAAAAAATCTCTCATCTGCCTCAGGCTTGTGGGTGGGGGAATCTGTAGAATCGTCTGTTTCATGGCTTCAGTGAGCCACCTCTGCCCAGCTCTCAACTTATACCCCAAGTATGTGACTTCTTGCTTAGCTATCTGAGCTTTCTTGTCACTATCTCGATATCCTAGCTCTCCCAGAGAGGTGAGCAATTTCCTGGTTGCTTCAAGGCACCCTGCCCGGTCAGGGGCTGCTATTAACAAGTCATCCACATATTGTAGTAAGGTTACTTGCGGGTTTTGACCCCGGTATTCACGGTCGTCACTCAAGGCCTCATTAAACAAAGTGGCGAGTGCTTGAACCCTTCGACCAACCTTGTCCAGGTAAGCTGGCAAAGGACTTTATCCGTTTCATCAAACCATTCGAAGGCAAAAATGTCTTGACTCTGGGGGGCTAGGGGCAGGCTAAAGAAAGCATCCTTCAAGTCCAGGGAAGTATACCACACATGATCTGGAGGAAGATTGCTGAGCAGCATGTAAGGGTTAGGGACTGTGGGATGTATGTCTTCAACTCGGCGATTTACCTCTCTCAGATCCTGCACAGGTCGGTATTCTCCCCCCGGTTTCTTTACTGGGAGGAGAGGTGTATTCCATGCAGACCAGCACCTCTTTAGTACCCTTTCCCATAACAGCCACTGGATATGGGGTTGTATGCCTTCCTGGGCTTCCCTAGGCATGGGATACTGTTGGGCTCTTACCGGTATGGCAGAGGGTTTTAAGTGCACAATAATAGACGGTCTCTGAAGATCTCATTCAAGGCATCTGGATACAGCTTTACTAGCTACTGGATCAGCTGGGTGCGGCAGATGCCCGGAAAAGGTTGGAGTGGGTGGGAGAGATTGATCCTAGTGATTCTTTTACCAAGTACAGGCCGTCCTTCCAAGGCCAAGTCACCATCTCCACAGACAACTCCATCAGGACCGCCTTCCTGCAGTGGAGCAGCCTGAAGGCCACGGACACAGCTATGTATTACTGTGCAAGAGACACAGTGAGAGAAACCACATCCCAAGAGGGACAGAAACCCTCAGCCAGCTGTGGCTGCAGAGCAGAGCCCTCAGGGGCACCTCCACTGGGACCGCCCAGCTCACCACCAGAGGGAACACTCTCTGCTGGGTCCTCGGGA